TACTGACCACAAATTCTGGCCTCCACATGGTGCCAGTGGCCTTGGAGATATTTGCTAGCAGAATGGCCTGCCTCAGGATCACTCCCTGTCCTGTCACTGTCTCTCACTGTCACCCACACCCACTTGGATCATGGGGAGAATCATCGTGAATAGTACAATTTCAGAGTCTGGACAAGTTTTATAGACCATTATATCTTATGTCCTTGCATTTTACAGGCAAAAAAACTGGGTGAAAGCAAGGTTGACTGGTCTAGGGTCACACCATTATGTCTTTCATTGTCTTAAAGACAGTATGAAGTACTGATTATGTTGAAAAATTTCTCTGTCAGGAGAAAAATGCACTTATTTAAATATTTACTGCAACATAGTTGTAAATAACGTTCCTCATGAAAAAGCAAAGTGCCACAATCACCATTTCCTCTTTATTTTCCTTTTTGTTTATTTTATTTTATTTTAAGCAGTCTTAATGCTTCTAGATAAATTATTTTCTCACACCTCATTACCACATACTATTAAAATATTCACTTGGTGCTACATTACAGAAGGGCCATTGTATCAACTTTGAATTGTACATGGATAGTCAGGGGCGTCATAGAAGTCCACTGCTGCACAGCTTGCTGCAGCTGGAAATGTAAACAGGACATAGAGCAGCCCGACTGGGTCTTTTAAAAGAGCAGCTTCCATGTATTTTTGTGTGTCTGTGTTGGGTCTCATGGGGCCCATTTTCTAAGGCTGACACACTTGTGGAATACGATAAACATAAGCAGAGTATCTTGTATGACAGTAATGATATCCTTAAGCAAGGAACTCATTTTCAAAGCCTTTAGGGGGTCCAGCAGGAGAGGATGCTGGGTAAAGAAGGCTTCCTGTGGAAATGGGAAGTGGTGGGAATTTTTCCAACTGGAGAGGGCCAGCTGCTGTACTTTGGGCAACCGCTACTCAGCTCCAGAGTGTGGCCACGTGGAATCATAGGCCAGCTATGCCAGATCCCTGATTTTTGTTTTCTTTAAAGAAGGAAAACGTCTAGAGTTGTGTGCTAACTCTACTTTTTCTATATGTTGCTAATTTAGCTTTTTTCTATGAGACAACTTTGGCTAAATACTATACTACCAGTTTGAGAACCCTCTCTAATTTTTCAGAAGATAGTTGGGCAGGAGATTTGACCTAGTAGTACTTCAGCTGGGTAGGCTTCTGATGGCTTCTCAGTCCTTCTGAGAATTTGTGAAATTAACCTGATTGACTAGAACTAAGGTGTGGCAATTGCTATCCTTGTCCCCTAGCATCCTAATTATCCTCACTTCCATTGGTGTCTCCTTCGCATCACCTTTTGTCAACACCATGACCTATATGATGGGGTGTGTTTGTATGGGTGTGAATGTATATGGGGGTGGATGGATGGATGGATGGATGGATGGATGGATGGATGGGAGCTCCCATGATTGAAAGTATTTCACTTTAAAGCACAATTATCAGGATGGATTCCTCCACAGGAATTTCAGGAAGAACTCCTCTAGCCTCTTTTGTTTGGTCTTAAATTTGGAATACTTGAAGGTTATTTTCCAGGCCAATTAGCATTCTGTGTGATTCATGTGGCTCATGGCAGCCAATAGTCATAATACAATTTGTGCATCACAGTTTTAATTATTCAATTTGGTCTTAAAAGCTGTCAGGAAAAATTACAGTAAAAAAGAATTTTGTCTTGAGTTCAGAGTGTATAGAACATCAACACAAATTAATTTTAGATGAACTGAAATAGACCTAATAAATTCACAAAGCAGATACCTATTAAAATTAAGAATGTTCTTAAGGTTTTCTATAAATTCTAAGGGCTAGGCAGAGTAGGTTTATAACTTTCTAGTAATGATACATTTTACGAAGCCTATTTCTTTTCATGCTGACAGTAGTGACAGGCTGAGACAATTAGATGGACAATTCAAGCATAATAAGCTTACCTTTGAAATAAATATTTTTATTTAGAATCCTCATATTGATGACAGTTGTTATCTCATTTTTTGGATAGTTGCTTAAGTCTGTGTCACAGCTGGTCTATAGAAGCAAGTCACAGGCAAGGAAGTTGACAAATGTTTGCAGGAAGATACACAACGCTACATGAGGGCAGCACTTTCTGAAGTTTAAAAAATTCCTTACACAGCCTCTTAATCTGCAGCAATTCAGTTAAGTCAAAATTCCTAAACTTAACGGAAGCCCTTGTTGCTTAAGTCTGTGATGCTGTGCTGGTGGGGGGGAGACCCAGTCCGTGTTCCGTGAGATGGGGAATGACAGTGTAATTGGAAGGGCATTCTTCTACAAAGCCAACATTTCAACAAGAAAACACATTGTCTACATTTTTATAAGGTCTAGGGTCTGAAGTTGAGTAGGAAGGGAATAATACATCAAAACTTCAGCTTTAAAGAAAACTTGCATGTTTTCATGTGGGCTGGCCAAGATTAACCAGAACGCTTTCACCCTTCTGATGTGTAAGGTAACTTGTCGGTGATATGATGGTAGAAAGACACATGGAACAACTATTTTTCCTGGCAAAGAGTCTTCTTCTTCCTAAAGGCTTGAAGATATTTCAGTGACGTATCTTAGACACGATACTGGCTACATGTCTTTAAGGATCAAAAGAAATTGTTGAATTGCACAGTGGATTGCTTCTGTACACATTGCTGTGCCTGCCAGCTTCAGGGGCTGAGAATTTTGCATTTGACCCATACAATCTACAGAGAGAATTAAAATTGAGGGAATACAATAAAGTAGCAGGGTGCTGTCTTGTTAACTTGGAGAACACCTTCACAAAGATGAATTCTATTGTGGAAGGATACTCATTTGTCATAAGAAAAATTAAACTTCAGAAGTTTACAGTACATGCATTTCGCAAGACTTCTAAAGAAATATGTGTCAACCTTTTGCATTTCCTTTATTTTCTGTCACAAGCGGCAGACACCAAGCAACATGTGCAAGGCTGCAGTTCTGCTCCTGAGCCCTTGTTAAGCTTGCAGGTTCTTCTCTTGCCCACATGCTGCCTCACCTGATGGGAAATGGCAGAGGGGCATCTTGTTTATGTTTTACTTACTCTTGCTTTTGCTCTCTCCTCTTTGATGTGATACTGAACAGAAGCCACCAGAAACAAATGGGGCACCACAGAAGTTTTTTTCCATTTTGTTCAGACTCTCCAACCTGGAAAAAACTGGCAGAGAGATGAATAAATAGACTCACTTTTAACCCACCTATAAGTACATGTTTGTGTCTCTCGGTAATGGACCACCCTTGTGAACAGCAATCTTTAAACTTTAATTTTAATCTGTACATCAGAGATGGAGATATTGAATTGTTTGGGCTTTTTTCTCAACCTCTCTCCCTCTTTTGATTTTCCAGATAAAACAAATTAATTAATGTACACTTTTCAGTTGAAGAAATGATTGAGACCCAGCTGTGTCTGTGAAATTAGAAGCTATGATGAACACTTGGGACTTATTAATGTTTTTATTGGCATGAAGAAATGCAACATAGGTATCTAATATTAAATGGTGCCTCAAAAAGTAGAAAGTAGCAGTTTCTTTGCCAAATTAACTTCCAAAGACATCTAGTTCCTAAGGTTATTATTTCTACATACAACTCTTAAATGATTGATGGACTTCTGTAAAATACCTTTGTTCAGAGGAGCCAATCTCTGGCAGACTACTTCAGAGAGCTCTAGTCTAAAAAGATGAAAATACACCACATTTTACATTCATTTCCCATGTAGACCAACACTTGAAAAAAATGCCTGAGAATGATGTGATTTGTACTGTATTCTGTACCTTATTTCACCGCATCCAGCAGCTCCATGCAGGAATCTTATTTCTAAGATTTAGGAGAATTTTTCTATAGAAAGCATCCTGAAGAAAATGCAGATGTGTAGGACCATCTGCATTTTATTTACTACTCTTCCAGTGTAGGGTAGTATTTCAGACTAACTGATTTTCAGACGAAACCATAAAGAGATACGATTTTTAAAAATCTGCAGTACTCTTTCAGGATATGGTTTCAGATTCTCCTTAAAATATTCTTCACAATATCTGAGCCCATCTGATGATTGCTTTTTATTTTTTTTTTTAATTTTTTTTTTATTTTAACATTTAGTGTGTGTGTGTGTGTGTGTGTGTGTGTGTGTGTGTGGCCAGCTCAGCCCACCAGGGGGCGCGGCTGGCTGGCATGTGGTGCTGGAGGATTGAACCGTGGTCCCTGTGCTTTGCCAAGCTTGTTCCAAGTAGGTGCTTTAGACCACTGAGCCATCTCTCCAGCCCCGATGATTGCTTTTTAAATATAGATTGTGTGATTTTGTTTATGCCTCAGATCACTGTAGAATTACATAAACTGGGATGCAAAGATCTCCAGGAAAGGAGTGAGCAGGTAATAGGAGCTAACAAAGCTGTGTGGGTTTGAGCTTTGGAGGCAGGGGGAGGCAGGCATGTAGTGTCTAGAAAGCAGGGCTTAAATCAATAGGACAATCTTATTTTCAAATAAAAAAGATAGCAATCTAGATTGTTATCAGAGATACCCTAATTTTTCAATATCAGCAACTACTTGAAGTTTCTCAAACCTCCTGGGCTAGCCAAGCGGAACATGTTTGGAACACGGTACTTTTGATCTCTGGAAACCTGCTGTGAAGAGAGAGATTCAACTTACACAGAAGAAAAGGTGTCTCAGTTGGCCACAGCTTTTGGATTTGGAATTGTGAAGTAGTCACCTAGGAGGGCCTGGAGGTGGCTTCAAGAACTGAGGCTGTGTGTGCCGCTTTGGGGCGGAGCTTCGCCGAAGGGTGTGGACGCAGGGATGGGGGAGGGTCCGTTCTTGATACACGCTGTTTGTGTAAAACACAGTGATTGGTGAATCCACAATGGGCGAGGTGTAAGCAAAAGCCTTTTGTCTTGAATCATCTTCAAGGCCGTTTCAATTTATGAAGTTGGATAAAGCTGACTTGCAGAACAAAAATACTTGCTTTTGCTTTTTGGCAGGGTGAAGTAGAGAAGTAAAGTCTCCCCGCTGAACTACTATGAGGTCAGAAGCCTTGCTGCTATATTTTACACTGCTGCACTTCGCTGGGGCTGGTTTCCCAGAAGATTCTGAGCCCATCAGTATTTCGCATGGCAACTGTAAGTACCACGAACTCACTCACCTCCTCCCTCGGCAGACATCTATCTAAGCCTACATCAGTGCAGCAAAACATAAAAATTAAACAGAAGGCCCAAGGAAACAGTTCAGCGGGCTCAAGTCCCTGCTTAGGCAAGCCCAGGCAAGTGCAGGATCGAGGTTCGATCCCTGATACCACATGCTGCGCCATCCTAGGGCGGGCTGATCTGGCCACAGAGTCCAGGGCTAGTGGCACCGCCTGTAATCCCAGAACTGGGAAGGCTCAAAGCAGGAGGATCACCACAAGTCCAAGCTGCGTAGTGAGACCTTGTAACAACCAAATACATTCATCAATCCATCAATCAGAAAACTAGACATCACTTTAACGTGTTAAATGGCAAAAGTAAATAATTTAAATCTAGTCAAATTGGTGTGACAATTGTTATGTAAATCCTCACTTGTTGTGGGGACATATGTGAGCTCATGTCCCCAATAAGGCTATGCTTGTGCCTTAAAACTAGCTATGTGGGAGAATACAGTAGTACTACCACTTGAGCATCGTGTTACTCCGCATCTTCATGTGCAGTCAGCGTGTGGGCATCATTACAGGATTTGAAAAGAAAACAATGACTGGATTAGAATACTTTAGAAAAATAACTTTTGTAAGTTTAGAAGTTATAGCATTGTACTGGATAAAAAGTGACTTTTGAATTTACAGCTGCCTTATATTAACTGTTTGTAAGCTTTTTGGCATCTGATTGCCAGATACTGCCATTACTGTAAGTACTGCAATGACTGAGAACTCGGTTGTCTTTTCCAGAGAGAATAGTTCTACCTGTGTGTTAGATGGAACATCCAGTGTACTGTTTTTCTAGTCTCTTTTGTCTCAGTACAGGTGAAAGTGAACACTTTTCCAAGTACCCATCCAAGCTGAGCCAGGGAGATAGCTCAGTAGAATAAGCACTTGCCTGACAAGTGCAAGGGTCTGAGTTCAATCCCTGGTTCTGCAAAAAAAAAAAAAAAAAAAAAAAAAGAAGTACAAATAGTCCAAGTACCCATCCAGTAATTATCTCAGATACACTGAATGAGCTTTTCAAAAGATATCTATTATTAATACTAGATACTAGGAGTTCCATCAATGCCCAGCTTTCAGCTGGTCTCTGTGGCTTGAAAAAGATGATTTCATATAAAAATGAGGTAGCAAACCTGACATAAAGTGCTTAGAGAAGAGAAGACTAAAGGGTGTGATTAAAAGACACAATCGTGCCCTTCAGGACCATCACTCCTGAAATGGTGGAGTCTCCCATACTTAAGGCACAAATGAATGTCTGTCTATCTCTATTGGAAATAAGTTTTTTCTCTCTGGCACCACAGCCCAAATGTGCTCCTGAAAAGCCTACATCAGGGTCTTCTAAATCCGTGATACTTGAGGTATATGGATTGTTTCAAGAACTTCCTTTATGAATGAGTGACAAAACTTCAGAGCAGTGAAAGGAAAGCGGAAGCTAGTCCTATGCCCCTTGCTTGTGCGTAACACATTCCAAGCCCCTCAAGTGATACCCCACTGTGAGTGGCGGTGCTCAGGTAGTACAGGAGTGTAAAGTGTAGGGAGCTAGGTAGGATCTGTGAATGGATTTCTAGTCATTATTTCTACCACTCTCTTCCCCTCTCCGAAACACTGCTGTAAATGTGACTCATTTTAAGGGAGGAGGGCTTGCCAGTGCTCTGGAGGCTGGCAGTTTCCTGGCAGGGACATGTTGAGGTGTAGGTATTTTTAAAGGTTAGGTCTTAACTACAAATTGCTCACTCCAGCCAAAGCGAATGATAGGATAGGAGAAATGTGCTCAGTGACTTTCTAAGTGAGGGAAAATTCCAGATCACCTGACTGGCTACACTCAGTTTGACCCGGTCTTGTGAAAACCCACATTTCTGCGATGTTAGCCAATTGCTTAACTCTGGAGTGAACTTCCCACAGTTCCTCGAATGCCATCCAGCCTCGCAGGGCTGGCTTCAATAGTAGATTATTCCAACTGGACGCCTGCGGAGACTGTATTTTTCTTCTGGCTCCTGGACGAAGGCTCTCGCCTCCAGACCACATTGCCTTTGTGGTGATTGATGGGAAGGCGGCTTTAAAGTAGTTTTGTCCCAAGACTAGATTTTTGGCAGCCTGCCTTCTCAGGCTTAGCACTCTCCACAAGATGAAAAGAAATCTGGAAGAAAAGAGTACCTTCATGCAAAGAGTTCACTACCAAGTTTAACCCCTAGAAATAGTAACACTTAAAAACTTAAGTCCCTGCTTAATATCTTCTGGAACTCAAGGGTAACTTGATCATCCTTATAGGGCATGCGTCTGTCATAGTATTTCCTAAAATAACACTCATTTGGAGGACAGAAATGGTGATGTGGTCTGAATTAAATGTGGTTTTGTTGGGGGCCTGCTCCCTTGTCACCCTGCCCTGAGAATTCTTGGACCGATCTACTTTCCCCGCTTTTGCCGCATCCCCGCCTCTTACAGATACAAAACAGTATCCGGTGTTTGTGGGCCACAAGCCAGGACGGAACACCACACAGAGGCACAGGCTGGACATCCAGATGATTATGCTCATGGGCAGGGCGCTCTACATTGCTGCCAGGTGAGTGGCCTCCTCTGCCTATCCAGAACTCTGAATCCTGCCTTTGCAGCCACTTTGCAACGTTTTTAAGAACTTGAAGTCCCTGTGTTATTTAGGTTACAGACTATTTCAGTTTGTCAAGCAATCATTCTTTCAAGATTCTGTGTCTGTTTAACTTTACATGGATTTACAGAGAAATAATTGCATATTTTGGTGCTTAGACTCAAATAATCTACTGTGCATCTTGAGCATATATGCAAATATTTACCCAAGCACCCACTAGAGTGCTCAGCTCCTTGATCCTTATTTGTTAATTCAAATTGAATGTGTAAACATGTGCTATGGTGTGCATGTAGGTGTGTTTATGTTAAACCTCTTTTGCAGCAAATATATAGTATGTATCATTACTTTAAAAGAATGGCAGGGGGCTGGGGAGATTGCTCAGTAGAATAAGTGCTTGCCTAGCAAGGGCAAGGGCCTGAGTTCAATCCCTAGTTCCCCCCAAAAAATAAATAAATAAATAAAATAAAAATAAAAAATAAATAAAAAAATGGCAGTGGCACCCAAAGAAAGCATAACGCAGGACATTCCCAGGAAGATTTCTAATTTGATTACAGTTAAAAAAAATCACTCATCCTTTTAGAAAACTGTCATTCAGACAGACTGATGTCTTAAGGTCCATGGCATGGTAGAAATGCTACCTAAGTAGGGTTCACATGAGTCTGGGCTTTGCTTTAATGCCTGACCACCACCTCTCTGGCTATAAGCATCCTCTGCCAAATGAGGGGTTAGTTTAGATGATCTTAACGATGGAGTCCACTAGGGTGTCAACCATTATGATCCCCGTGTTTTGTGTGTGTGTGTGTGTGTGTGTGGCTTATTTAGTATAATTCCAAATGGACATCAACTTGGATCCTCTTCTGCAGTGTTCTGCCTAGTATAGACAGATGAATCGTTTCATCCAGGGAAGAAGAAATAGAGATGCTGTTTATATCCAGCTATGAGCATAGGTAAAGATGAGATACGTGCTTTGATTGTCTTAAAACACTTAAGATATTTTGAGGTGAAAGCTCTGTAACTTGAGCTTCAGGTATGTGGAAAACACCCTGAGAGTAGTGCACATTTGGGCACAGGAAGCAACACCACCATGAAACTTCAGATGTGTGACTTCACAAATACAGCACCCACTTGGATGGCCATATAAGTCACAAATGTAGTTAAAAATTCCTTTATAAATATCAATTTGTTCACTCCTGCAAACAGCCCTAGGACAAAGTGCTACTGTTCTTCCCCATATCCTGTGAAAGGAATCCACAAGAGAGTGAGAACATAGGCTTGGGGATGGAGGCAGGATTTGAACAAGGGAGGCCTTAACTGAAAACCACATGGCCACTTCCTGTTCAGTGCTGCCCACTGAGAAACAGAGCTGGGAGCTTTGTCCTGGTCATCCCCATCACAGCTGCCACCCAGGAGCAAAGTCATCATCAGAATGCGTCCTCATTCCAGTGAGGACGCAGCACCCCCTCTCTGGTATCTTACCAGCTCCTTCTCCATTCTTTTTATTTTTAAGCTATGCAACGTACTCTGCTTTCATTGAAGGTCAAGTTTGTGACAACTCTGCATTGATGTGTTGGTTTATTCCACACTCAGCCACTTTCGCTCTGAATACACACTCAGAAAAACTCACCCAGGAGCTCTGTGGCTGCCATATTTAGGGCCAGTCCTTTTCACTGCCCAGTTCCCATCGCTGTTCTGAGAGACCTAGGTTCCCAGGCAGCCAGTAACACAGTTCAAAGTAAAATCCTCCCCGCACCCAGGGCCTAAGCCCTGGCAACACAATTCAGAGGTGCAGGATGGAAGGAGAAGTAGTCCTCGGGTTAGGTCAGTTTATGTTCAAATCACTTAATTCAGGAAGGGCAACTTAGGTGTCTCAGGCTGTGCACATGGGCTTGGGGATGAACCTCCCTGCCCGCCTGGACTCGGACCCTAAAGTACTATTTCTGCTTTTTGAAGCCTTGTGATGTTTGAAATATTAGAAAAGATTACCTCATCTAAAAGGGGATTTCATTCATCCAATTCTGTTTTCAAAGGCTGCCCCATTCCTCCAGACAATTGGTGTCCGCAATGGAAAGCCAAATCCCATCCAGAACCCTGGGGCTGAGAGGGGGCAGGCTGCAAGGATGCCTTTCAATTCCTTTTTTTTTTTTTTTTTAATTATTATCTACTTTGCAAATTCTTCTTTCTTTTTAATCTCTATACTACTAATTAACATAAACAGGCCATGCCAAAAGGGGGCAATCTGAGAGCTTTTTGAGGAGTTGCCAGTGCATATTAATCAGTTGTTAATTTACAATTCATATATTCAGTTCCTGCTTCAGTTTTGAGGGAGGCAGGGCAAGGAGAAGCCTAGAGTCATCTCAGACCTGAAACTGAAGTCACAAGCAATTCCATTCCAATAATGTGCCTGACCACAGCAGCCCTATAAAGTCAAACAAGTAATAAACGCATGCAATAAAATGCCTTGAAATTAAAGGGCAGAGTGATTTTTGGCACCCTACTGAAGACGCTTTCCAATGCAGCAGTTTACGAAACAGGCTCCTTATTCTCTCTCTCTCTCTCTCTCTCTCTCTCTCTCTCTCTCTCTCTCTGTCTCTCTGTCTCTCTTTCTCTGTCTCTTTTTCCATCTGTCTGTCTGTCTGTTTCTCTTTCTCATATGCATGTACAGTTTAATGGCAGGCAAGGAATTTTGTAAGCTGACAGCCTTGCCCCTTCTTTTCCTATGAAAAGCCTTTTTTTAATTTTTCTTTATGTTCTTTCTTTAAAAAAACAGAAGCAAACATTTCAGAATACTGTATTCATGTATGTGCACATACACAAATCTTGAGAACAATTGCTTTTTTCTTTTCTTCTCTCCCTCCTTCCCTCCTCCCTTTTAAGTGATGAAGGGGTTGGAAAGTCTGCATGGGAGGCCTTCAGGTCCTGGTTTGAAGCTGTGGGTAATTTTCCAGCCCCAGGACTTCCTGCATTTTAGAAAAAGTCAATGTTATTTCAAGGGAAAATGAGCTGTTTGGCTTTCCCTCACTAGCCCCCATCTCTTCCATTGAGTGTAGTGCTTTTCTTCTATTTTGTCTGAATTCTAGACAAAAACACCCTTGTACTCTGCTCACACAGAAGGGGAGGTTTAAATATAGCCCCACACCTGAGCTGCTGATTCTGTTTCTCTCCTTCGAAGGGGAGGTTGGCAGAGAACTACAAAGACGACTAATTTCTCAGCCAAATAGGAAGGTGAACAGAAACAAGAAGTGTAAACTTCAGCTCAAGAACATTTTAGACTTTTAAGTGGCCATCATGTTGGGAAGAAAAGAGTGACTCCTGGAAATAATTTTACCTTTATCATCTTCCATCTTTTCTGTCAAGTCATCAAAGCTAAGGCTGAAAATGGGTTTTCTGACAAGAGATGAAGGTGGAGATCCGCTTTTTGTTAGCTCCTCTGATGAACAAATGTAACATGTTGAATGCCAAGTGATTGGTACCTGGGTTTGTCAATACTGAAATGGCTTGTGATCCTTCTGTGTCCCAGTCTTGAACCCTCCCACCTGAGCTCTAGGTATTCAGTGATTGTAGTTCTGGTGATAGAGAGACAGTGGCTGCTATCTCTTTTTATCATAAAACAAGAACCATAGATAGAACCAGAAGCATCTTTCATGTAACAAGTGGGTGGCTTGTTTGTTCAAAAAAAAATGTGTATGGATTTATCTGTGCTGAATGAGATATAATTTATTCACTAGAAAATAAATGTTCTGGATTCCTGTGTTTGTCCTCATATCAATCTTTCTTTTTTTAATAGGGATCATATTTATACAATTGATATAGACACATCCCACACAGAAGAAATTTACTGTAGCAAAGTAAGTTGATTCAAAATGACCTTTCTAAAATGAAGAAACTTAGGATAGTTTTGAAAAGAATATGTATATTAAACGTGTTGATCAAGATGATGTAGCTAATACTAATTTGTAAATGCCAATACCAGTACATTTTGTAAAATCCTAATTTGGGGGTACATTCAGGTTTGATATGTGTTCAGAAACAGATACTTCATATGTTATACATCAGTGTATGCATATACATACATTACAGAGATTTGGGTAGTTTCTAAAATCCTACAATAAAATATTGCCACATTTGTTCAGAAAATAACATCAGTGTTCATAAGTAAAATTTTGTCCCACAGGTGTTTCAATGATCATGCGTCTATATAGTATTGAGTTTGATTTGATCATTATAGCTCAGGGATTTGATCATTAGCAACTTTAGACTAAGCCCTACCTAAGCTTCCTCCACCATTCCACACAGCATTTCTGGTCATGAGGTGTGTGTCTTAGAGGATCCCTTTAGCCCATTAATTGGCAGGAAGATGTACAACCGGAGCTAAATGTTTGTCCTCTTGAAGTGAACATCCCTTTAGTGTTTTAAGGAAATAACTTCTGTGTTTTAAGGATAAAGCCTTCTTTATGTAATGGAAAGGGCAAGAACATGCATTTTTCTCAAAATGAGCATCATTTAGCAAGTTAATTTGGGTATTTTACATGAAATTTCCAGGCTATTGTTTCCTTCTTTCCTTTCTCCTTTGTTTTGATCTCAGAGAAGACCATTTTGTAGTTTAATGAATAGATAGAAGTTCAAAATTAAATGAGTGTTTCTATTTCTCATCTTTGGTTGTTATGGTAAATTAATCATGGAGAAAGGGTGTGGAAAGCTTTCAATAAATATATGTTCAGCCTCTGGTCTCCCCAAGGGAACTTTTACTTCTAAAATCAAATGCAACAACCCCTGGGCTCTAATTGATTTCTTTCTTGATCCCTGTAGAAACTGACATGGAAATCTAGACAGGCTGATGTAGACACATGCAGAATGAAGGGAAAACATAAGGTAGGCAATTTTCATTCCTCCTGCAGCTGCCACTTCGGGTTACGCTTTTGACGGTTATCTCCAACCATAGTCTGTGATGTAGAATGCATCATGCTATTCCCTTTTCCCCAGTAATTGCTTTTTCCATCAACTTATTGAAGGCTTTAATTTGCAAAAATAGTTTGCTTTTAATGTGATGAAACATTACAACAGCTGCTAGGACTGGTTGTGCACTCCGTAGGCGTGCTTGGGATTACAGCCGCAAAGCTGGCCGCCTGGGTCTTCTGAGTGCTTGCTCACTCCCACGGCCCACTGCCCGGCTGGGGCCCACTGGGAGTCTGGGAGGCACTCATGAAAGACTGCTGCAGACATGCAGGCTTGCGTGCCTTTGGTCATGTAACAACATAAAAACACACTTCCACCCGAAGCCTTGTATATCAAGGGACTCCGAAGCATCTGGCATTAAAATTAATACGATGGGAGGGTGACCCTGCAGTTTGCCTTCTTTTTGTGATATAAAATAAGAATACTTTACCAGTCTATACCATGTTTTTCTCTTTTTAACCACTGACACAGCAGTTGTGGTCAGCATTGTCTTTCGGTTAGTGTCAGGAGCAACTCCAACGTCTAACTCTAATCTTACTGCGGACAGATCATGGTGTACGGCAATGAATAAGTTTTTGGACCTGAAACAAAATGGTTTGAATTATTCTTTTTTAGGATGAGTGTCACAACTTTATTAAAGTTCTTCTGAAGAAAAATGATGATACCTTGTTTGTCTGCGGAACCAACGCTTTCAACCCTTCCTGCAGGAACTATAAGGTAAGTTCCATTTGTCGGCTAGAGCCACACAGGCAGGAGGCATTTCATCATTTACTGTGATTGTACCTGCAGCAACTCAAGAGGGGTAATTCAATACCACCCAGGTTGCTTTCACTCATGCAGCTTAATGTATTGCTCTACATGAGTGATCCTGAGCCAGCTTCTGAGCTTCCTGTTTGCTTGGGATTGATTGACACATCCGTAAAGAGCATACCAGACAAGGTGGTTTTGGTGAGACCCTATTCTTCATTGTTCAGAAGAAAACAGACCTACCACGTGATAATGCCATGAGCGTTCCCCCCACCCACTATCTCTCCTGAGCACAAAAACACACTTAATTGGTGAGGGATTCCTATTCTAAAAGGTATCAGAAAAGCATGCTATTTGAAACTGTAGACAGCCCCTCTTGGTAAGGTTTTTCAAGAGCATTGGAATTTAATTCCACTTAGCACTCAGCTTACTTGGCCATGGCCTTACTTACTTTGGCCTTAATGCAGAGAAGAAAAAAATAGTTCTCAGAGAGTTAGTAAGCGTGGTTAGCTGAGACGCAGCTGATACCAGCGCTGCCAGCAAAGCCAGGAGCTTGAGAGTAGCACGGGCGGCAGAACAGTGACCTAAGGTCAAGACATCGCATCTCTTAGCTTTCCTTGTCCCTTCGTCCTGCTGCATGCAGTCTTTTGCTCAGCAAACACGTTAGGCATTACCGTTTGGCACTGAGACTGTAAAGGGAAAGAGAAGGCATCCACCCTTAGGGAAGCCGGAGGGAGAATAAAAGCCTTAATTCCATAGGGTTGCTGCCATGGTGACCTAACTCAGGCATCATGGAAGCACAACACGCGAGTGCAGGAGAGTGTCAGGAAGGAGGCAGATGGCTGCAGGGCCCCTGCTGTGTTCGCACACTGCTGCCTGAGAAACCCAGAGGTCCTGTCAAGGCAGGAAGCACCTCCATGACTGTGCAGCACACAGCAGCGCTCCAGAACAAGAGCTTGGTTTGCAGCCCCTAACCTCTGTGTTAAGGGGCCATAGAGGTAGGGCAAGCGAGATAGCTCAGTGGACTAAGTGCCTGCTTAGGTCAGCTCAAGGACCACGGTTCAATCCCCAGCACCACATGCCATGTTGGCCTCACCCCCAGGGCACGCTGTGCCTGCAGCTGAGTCGAGGCATAGTGGCGCACCCCAGCAATGGGGAGGTTGAAAACAGGAGGATCACTAGGAATCTGAGCTGTGTAGTGAGACCCTGTACCAATATATAATTTTTTTAAAAAAAAAAGGACCATAGAAATTAGTGAAGTGAAGGAAGGCATGGAGTGGGGGTGATGTCACGACGCAGGCACGGCTCAGCAAGGCTTCCGAGCTGGTAGACTGGAAAGAAGCAAGTGACAGCAGAAAGAGGCTGGAGGAACATGGCCCTAGGCATGAGGGACAGGAATGAACTCAGGGAACTCTTATGACAGAAATCAAGAAGATTTAGTAATGGATAAGGTACACAGGAGGAGGAGCGCAAGAGAGGAGCAGAGGGTGACTGCCCTGCTACCTCTCGGTGAGTGGGCAGGTGTGGCTGCTACCCATCAGACAGGAAACAAGTGAGCCACCGTGAGGGTGAGGGGCTGAAATGATGGGTGCCGCACCACTCTGCCGGTCATAAGTGTGCCTTGCGTGGAGCGCAGTGCCTGTGGAACAGGAAGAGAGAGGCCTGGCCTGTGTGTAGGGAGAGATGTGGGGAGAAGAAAAGTGGGTTCCATCCCTACCAGGTACGGCCCAAGGCTGTGAAGAGTAGAAACACAATGGCAGCTAGAGTCTGGAGCCTGCCTGCCTCCCCCCTCCTGCTCATCTTCCTGCTCAGGCTGGGCCAGGGCCAGCAGGGCCAAGGTGAGTGTGAGGCGGAGGCCCAGGTGCCAGGGAGCACCCCAGGTGCAGTAACTAAGAGAAACTTGATTTCTCATGAAACTTTTCAAAGAAATCAAAATTAGTATAAAAAGTCTGCCATGTACAAAAGGTCACATTTTAAAGTAAGGTCTGTCTGTCCCTTCCTAATAGAGGCAGCCCACCTAGCCGAACATTCATGCTCACCAGTGACAGCATCCAACTACGGTTCAACTTTAATCCTTCCACTTAATAATCCACCCCAGATTGCCTTGTTTAGGACTCATTAAGTTTAATGCTTCTAATATGTGCCAAGGCGTTCTCTAGCTAGAAAGCTCTTTTGTGACAAATTACAAGTTCTCTTGGCACTCCGATCCACAGGCCACAAGTGGTCTAGATTTTCCTTTGTCCATTTCCCACAGTGCTTCACCTTGATTACATGCAGTGGCCCTTCTCTGCTGTAGCTACAGCTGTAGAACTATGTTCAGAAGCCTGGGCTTCTCAGAAGCCGCATCTGGGGTGGCTCATACTTGGGCCCTGTCTATGCACCTAGGCCTATAAATGATTATAAGAAATCTTGGCATTGTCAAGAAGGTATTATCTCAGACTCCGGGCACAGCTTGATTTTGCTGATGATACCGGCCATAATATATTTGGCTTCAGGGAGAATGACACGTCTCTCTTAAGTGCTTCTTATCAATAGATCAGAACCAAAGGTACAAAGCAAAGACAATGACTCGTCTTCCCAGGAGACACCTAGATCTTTCCCTAGCGCAGACACATCCATTGGATTAGAGTAACTAGAAAAAGGAAAGTGACAAACGTTCAGTCTTTGCCTCTGCACTATGCCCCGATTCACATGATTTTTATTACAAAAGGAAGCTGACGTAGGATCACCTGGGGAAGAATTTGGAAGGCTAGCTCTAAAGCCTCCACGTCTGTCCTCTCTGTCTTTTTCTTACTGTGCTGTGAATCTCATGATCTTTCTGCAGAGGTCGGTCTGGTTCTATGATAATTATCTGTCCCCTGTGGTGATTTAATTTTCCAGGAGCTGCTGTTAAGTCTGAGATTTGATGACTACCACAAGGATTAGTTCTTACCGTGTGGAAACAGGGTTTCTCCATGGCATCATCTTGTTTCTGAAGCACCCCAAAGTCACAAACCAATATGTTAAGTTTTCGTTGCTTCCTGCCTCTGATTAGCTAGACCTAAAGCCACTGTCTTAAGAGTAGGTACACTTAAAAGAATCAAGAACAAACTATCCCCTTGTATGTTGCTTCCCTGTTGCTGGCAGGATCAGCACACGCCCTGCTTGGGCTAAGGACATTTCCTGTCCATCACTGCAAGCTCAGCAAAATTTCTGGACAGTTGCCAGACCCACATGCTGCAGTCTGCCCCAGCTCAACACAAAGCCTTTGTTGGGAGAAAGTTATCTTTCATGAAAGACTTTGCTAAGGAATAGGGTGTGGAGCGCCCTGCTTTAAAGGGTATCTGACTTGACTACCTTTCCCTTAAAGATATATTTTCTAAGCACAACTATTTGATGTAGTTCTCAACTCCCTTTGGAAACAGAATGGCTCCAGCAAGGGCCATCTCAGTGTGGTCAGGTAGGAAAACCTTTCCCACCCATGAAATGGGGATTTGGGACAACAGCACAGCTGATTAGATACCACCAAGGGCTGCACAACCCGCCGTACTGCTGACAGCCTTTACGTGGGTCTCTCTTTAGCACCAGTGCTGTTTTAGATTTATGTCCTTTCAGATTTCAAATCTGTAATCAAACCATGCAACTTCGAGATGATAAACAAAATATCTCACATTGCAAAGGGGATGGAACCACAGATGGCTGTAAAAGGATACGGAGATCATTTTATGAACTTGGTGGGAGGGAGATTTTACACGTCAAAGAGAAATCCCAGAGAAGGAAGGAGACCAGGTTTCGCACACATGGAGCTGTTGTAGTGGTGGTCGGAGTGGGCAGCCTCGGTCAGTGTTAACACAGGGTCAGGGAGAGGATGTGTTCATGAAAGTGTTCAGAAGGCCAGCCTGCATTCTGCTCAGAATTCCGCCTCCCCTGCAGTCCTGGGCTGCACTATATCTGGGTGGGGAAGGATGAAAAGAGAACAAGATACCAGGTCCTAGGAGGTTTCCAGGGAAAAGCCAGGAGGCAGCTGAAAGATGGCCTCACACTCTCATCCGTTGCCAGTGGGCAGTCTGTGGTCACATGTGCTGGTAAATGAACTTTAAGGTGACCCATGGGAAAGGGAAATGATAGAGTTTGGTGAGCACCTAGCAAAGGTTTGCCTACCCACAAATGCCTACAGTATTAGGTCGTTGTCACCTGTAGAGTAATACAGATGAGTAGTAGTAATACACTGGGTTAAAAAGCCTTGAACTGACTTTTCTACTTGTTCAAAAGAAGCAAGAAATTCAGATTTTCATGGAAAAAAAGTTTTAAATTGTGGTCTTCCTCCCTCCCCACTAACTCAGCCAAACAGAACTCACTGGGAGGGCACTTATAACCTCTATCTTAACAGAATAAGCCATGCATTGGACACTGGTAGATGTAAATTACATAGTGGCTCCACCTCTTGTTGCTTTTGACCCATGTGAGTCACCCAACTTGGAACAGGCCACGTTTCTAAAATCCAGCTTCAGAACTGCCATTACATGATTCTGAAGCTGCTCTAGAAGCGACCTGCCTTTTTCTGCTTGCATCCATGGTTTTGTGACTTCGCCAGCAGCATCCTATTTTGCCAGCAAACCTGAGGGGAAAGCATTCCAACATCTTCTGCTGGGATTAAACCCACAATTGCAGGAGTCATCTGGCAAAATAAAACCAGAAGTTCAGGTCATCCTTTATAAAGTTTGCGACTCAGAGGACAACTGGTGCAGGGAGGCTTTCTCAGTGGCTGCCTCAGACATCCTTGGTTTGGAATGCTTCTTTCAGATCATTCTACTGAGGTGGAAATCTGTGCATTGCAATAGTGAAGTCAAACTGACACGAGCAAATTTCAGGCTCTTGTATAGAATCTTTGTAGCCAACTTGATCTGGCTAATTCTCAGTTTCTTTACCTAAGACCAAAGCTCAGGGGCATTGATGGAGTCTATTTGCAAGCTTGTGTATGAATTATTTTGCACAATATATGCTTTAAAAATACCAGTTACAGTTAATACTTGTTGATGGTTGTTTATAATTAAATCCTTTATTATTTTATTTAGATCGATACTTTGGAACCTTTTGGGGATGAATTTAGTGGAATGGCCAGATGCCCTTATGATGCCAAACATGCCAATGTTGCGCTGTTTGCAGGTAAATGACCTGATTTCTTCTCATTGCGTGTTTCAGCCTGTCGCTGAGAATCTGCTCTGGAGGATTCATGCAGTCACAGTTGTACTTTGGTTCTCTAGAGAATACTGTAATTAAGGATGCCTTTTCCATTCAAAATTAGTATGGAAATTGCACTTCTGCTTCTCAGAAAAAAATATTTGCCACACTTATCCATGCTTTTGTGCCTTCAGCAAAGAGTAGCAACACAACACTGAACAGGTGATGGCATGTTTGGGCTCAGGTAGAAGGAAATCTCACCTCAAACCACCCAGGTGGATTACTATGAGAGGTATGGTAGAGTTTGGGGCTGGTTTGATTCAACAACAGCATTCTCCCAGATGCAATTCCATGACTTCTTACCTGCACAGAGAAGAAGAGCATGGGAAAGAAAAGAAAGGAAACTCCTGGAGGCTCACTCAGAGCAGTGAGGCCATCTACCCACAAGCTTCTGGCGAACATTTCAGATATTGTTGACCTGGATAGGTGACACATCTGCACACCTGCCTCTCACCAAAAGGTTGTGTAACTGGTAGAAAATGCTTTCATGCACATCCCCTCCTTCTACTTCAGAAGGTATAAAGATGCAGCTAATAAGCCATCATTTTCAGGTTTAGTTGAATTTTGTGTATGGGTATGTTTTAATTAGGAATTTATTTAGGAATCCATTACCAGCTGTGTACGTGTAGGTGGGCATAGAGAGAAGTGTTGTTGCAATAGTTATTGTTATAGCATGAAATAAAGCACTTAGCTAAAATTTCCACCACAGAAGCTAAGATCTGGCACATCTCAGCTGAATGAGAAAGTTTTAGGGTTTGATTATGAAAGATTAGTTCCTGGCTCTTTGAACCTCATATCTCAGTGTCACCCACTTGTGGGCCTGCAGTGACCAGCTCGCAAAGAAATAAAATGTCCTCGGTCCTCCCAGCTAGTGAGAGCACAGTGCTGCTGGCAAGCAGCATTCTCAGGACCACCAGTCTCACTCCAGTTCCCAAGCATGGAAGGGGCAACACCAAGGTTAAGAGTGCATTCCTGACTGTAAGCAGCATTGGACACTGCTTTGACACTTGGGACATCCATGATTGGGACATTGGAGGGTGTGAGCAGCAGAGGAGCCATTTAACTTCACTGTAAATTAAGACCCCACTGCCTATGGTCTAAGGCAAAGGGGAGAAACAACAATGTATTTACTAAGGCTGCCAAGCTTCCAGGAGCTATAAAGGATGAGCCACATGAGATAAGGACTTTCCCCACCACCAAGTGACATATTTGAATAGTTTTTGTATGAAATGTTTGAAATCTCATAAAAGATTAGCCTTTGGTAGTACTGGATCCTCTCTGTAACTGGCTGGTACAGGGAGTGTTAGAGGAGCGTTCAGTTTCACCAGTGAAGTTCTAGTGTTGAGTGTAACAGGAGTCCAGAGGGCGGTTAGAATTACCACCACCCCCCTGCCGCTGCGCCCTACTCCCCAGGCATGTCTGTATTATGTGGTGCTGTAAGAGTATAAAGTATTTATTCCATGAGAAAAGTTGAGATTTATAGCTGCTTATCAATGAGAAGATTTGCTGTCTGCAGTTCAATTCCACCAAGACTGACAACAGGTTTTGATACATAGCTGTTAACAATGTAGATCTCAAGATAGCTATAACTTGAGTCTGACCAAATTTGATTTAAAGGCAAAGGTAGACATTCAAGATCTTTGCTTAGGTATGTTTGCATAAGGTTTCTTTAAAAGCAAAAATCCTTAATATGGAAGAATTTGAGTATTATGTTGTACCTAACTTGCTAACATGTAACTGATGTAGATGAGTAATCCATTAAAAATGAATCAAAGAAACATTCTTTTTTATTTTACATGTATTATTTCTATGTAATCTATGTAAATTTTGCAACATGCCAGTTGGTTATTTACAGTCTTTGCCAACCCAGGAACTAACCAAAAGTTTTAGGGACTAATTCTTCACTCTCTTCTGGCTTGAATGGATCCACAAATGTATCTTCCAGAGAGGATGGATTCTCTGGAAAAGTCGAGCTTGAATTCAGCTTCACTCCTTCCCCTTTCTTCTTTGCTTTGACCTCTTGTATATTTGAGTATTTTCAGTTCATAACTTTGGAAATCCTGATGCACCTCCCTAGGTCTCCAGGGCTCACTGATGGCTGGCACCTGGGGTACAGAGCAGGGTGGCTCTCAGAAGAGAAGCAGTCACTGAGCGAGCTTTTCTGTGCTCGGAACCCTCCCACACTCCCTGGGATGAGGGCTCTCTTGCTTCTGCAGGAACCGGAAGCCTCTGGGTGTCAGCAGATAACATCAGCTCTTATCGCTCTTGAGGCACCACACTAATCCAGTTTGCCATGGCTGCTGGAAACAGCAGTGTCCCAGGGTCCTTGGCCTTGAGATTTTGGTCAGAGCCCATCTAATCAAGTGAAGCAAACAACATTCTGCATTTACTCTGTTCCCTGAGCTGCCGCTGCTTAGAAAAATTGCCATGCAATTTAAAAATGAAAAATGTTTCATCTCTCATGATCCCAATTTAAAATGGTTAGGAATGTGAGCCAAGTATTTTCCTCGCGACTCTTGGGTTTTTCCCAGTTGTCCTCTCTCATTTGCCTGATGTCAGAAAACAATTTGGGGGGATATCTTTATTACTCCCCACCCCTACCGTCTGGCTTGCACCAGGTTCAGCTCCTTTCTGTCTCCTCTCAGATGGAAAGCTGTACTCAGCCACAGTGACTGACTTCCTTGCCATCGATGCTGTCATTTATCGGAGTCTTGGAGACAGCCCTACCCTGAGGACCGTCAAGCATGATTCAAAATGGTTGAAAGGTGAACAATTAAAAGAAAAAAGAGAGACGGGGTAATACATAGCTTGTGGGAGATTTCCAGTCTGGATGGACCAGACTGTAAATTTATTTCAGTAATGGGTTCTGACAGACAAAACCATGTAAATTGCATCTTTTGCCTTAGTTGATTTATTTGCCTCCTTTTTCCCTTCCCATGAGTTTCTGGAATATTAACAAAACTACCAGTGCCACAACCATAGAATACATTACATTCATCTTTCCACACTTCAAACTCCTTATTTCAGCATCATCCCACAAGAAAAGAACTGAACAGTTCATTCATGAAAGGGAGCAGGGGATTGGAGGTGGTGGGGAACAGGAAAGACGCGACGCCCAGCCCTGTGTGAGCCAGGGTGACAAGGTGGTGTACAAACCCCTCTCTGTAACATGAACATTGCATTGTGGAAAATGAAATCACAGAGATTTGCGGCATTCACTTATTCTTTATTGTTGATGGCAAAGCTTCAAAACATAATCTGTGAGCTTGAACGCCTTTTGAAATCACTAGCACTCGCAAGTGTGAAGTCATTAGAAATGGTTAGTGCTCACCAAATGCCTAATAGCTATATACTTCTAATTAATAACATGTCTTTGGTTACACTTGATTAAAATTCTTTTAATGCCCTGTGACACATCCCAAATTAAAGCCTCCATTTGTCTGCAGAACCGTACTTTGTCCAAGCGGTGGATTATGGAGACTATATCTACTTCTTCTTCCGAGAAATCGCAGTGGAGTACAATACCATGGGAAAGGTAAAGGGGAAGACTGCCTGGCTCCCTTTGGGACACTACAGAAACCTTCTTAATCAGTGTTATTATGAATGACTTTGACATCAAAGCCATAGGTCTGGGCACAATGTCATCATTTTGAGAAGATGTAGCTAAGGACTGGCGAAAGGGAAACATTGTGCTTGCTAGAAGCCCCACAGGAGTTTCAGAACAGTAAAAATTCCTAGGAAACTTTTTAAATGTTTCTGTTGAAAATCTGACAGATGTTCAGTTGATTTCATTCTGAATTCCGGGCATCCTGACATGTGGCTTCCAGGTACAGTTTTCTTTCTTAATTGAGCTGCTCCACGGGGAGAGTATGTGTCCAGTATCTTTAAGCAACAGTCTGATTTTTTTTTCTTTATTGCAAAAAGCAATAGAACATTTAGGACATGTCTATTTCATTTATTTTTATCAGAGATTAGATCAGGGTCACCAACTTGGAGGGCACACATGAAATGCAGGGATGGCTTGCCCCGTGAGCCAGAGGAACCACACTCCAAGTATGAGACTCCGCCTCAGAGGCAGCCAGCGCGGATGGCAGTGATGGTGCATACAAAGTGTGCTTTTGTTTGAGGAAATAAAAAGCTAAGCAGTCTGTATGGAAATGAGTTTATGTGGCTGGGAGCTGATTCCCTGAAGGATTTATGGTTCGGTATTAAATGCCACAGTCTTATCTTTTAAAACATGCTGTTCCAAGGCTGAGTTTTCCTCTTTTTTTTTTCTTTTCAACTGATTTTAGAAGCACAATATTAAATTAAGCACCTCGTTGTTCTGTTTATGTTGTCAAGGAAAAGGCAAGTTCTACCAAGATCTTCTCGCAAAATGACTGCCTCTTCCTTTCCCTGTCTCTCCTCTGCAGGTCGTCTTCCCTAGAGTGGCTCAGGTCTGTAAGAATGACATGGGGGGATCTCAAAGAGTCCTGGAGAAGCAGTGGACATCCTTCCTGAAGGCTCGCCTGAACTGCTCAGTTCCCGGAGACTCTCATTTTTATTTCAATATCCTCCAGGCAGTTACAGACGTGATCCGTATTAATGGCCGTGATGTTGTCCTGGCAACCTTTTCCACGCCTTATAACAGGTACCCATGCCCCGGTAATGTTGACCTAATTGGTTCTTTCTGGCTTTCTTTTCCCAGGGGGCTTCTCTCCTAATACACGATATTTGCAACTGACTGAAAATTGCTGTAACTTGAAGCACTTTACACTTAGTTTTCAGCTGTGAATTAATCAGAATTTAGAGCATTATTAAAGTACAGTTTCAGAGGAGCACATTAATTACAACAACATATTCTATATATGGCTGACATACGCTTTTTATGCGCTATTCATACATTTCTCCGGTAACCCAGGAAACTAAATGGTACTGTCCTCTTTAAACACTTGAAGACCGAGCTCAAGATGTTCTGTGCCCTGGTCAGGTGGCTAGTCAGTAATGGAGGAGGCAGGTCGGGATTCATGAAAGTTTCCCCTGTCTCTTCCTGAGGTCACCTAAGATTCCATTAGACTTGTAGGATTTCCATTGCTGAGAGTACGTTTTGAAGCAAAAGCACTGGGGATGTATTACAGTGCTGCAGTGATGAATCTATGAGCATCGTAGCCAGGGATTCTGCTTCTTGCCGTGTTCAAGAAATTGACTTCCGGTGACCGCAGTCAACAAATTGGGTCATGGCCCAGATCCGAACCTCAGCACCACTGTCTCTGGAGAGCTCTAGGCAGGCTTTATTAGTCATAAGGCCTTGTACTGGGAACACTGAGTGTCAGCCAATTCACTCCTGTTTTTGTGTTTGGTAAGCTAAGACTTGTCAGACAATAAAATGGCACACTATAATCACTCCCAGGCAGTGAAAATGTATAAAGATTACAGAATAAAAGGAAAGTGTTAGTGGCCCTGCCTGGCAGTCAGCTTTCTATTAAGCCAACAAGGGTCTAGCCCTGGCACTGTTGTGTGAAAATGATCATGCTGCCAGACAGGATTGGGGAATCCAAATGAACCGTATTTTCCTTTCTGTGCAAAACTTTCTGTGTTCCATAGGGAATATCTTCCTATAGAATATACTGTTTTGCCTTGGATTATACCTTTTAGAAAGACATTTAGGAATTTGGTGATTGCCTACTTAACAGAAAAAATGAAGAGATTAGAGGATAGTATTTAAAAAGAAATGCTCAGGAATTGGGTAGAGCTCAGAGCACAGCAAGCAGAAGGATGAACTCACATTCCTGAATTACATGGAGGGTAAGAGTCAAGCATTTCCTAATGGAGATAAATGAAAATATGAGCCTATACTGCAGCCAGATGCATTCTGTTAGATTTAGGTAAGCTTTAGCCATCTGTAGGGATTTTCATACTTGAAGATGGAAAAGATATTTTAAAATATGCAGGCTTTTTTGTACACATGATAGAACTCACCTATCTCAGATTTTATGAAAGTATACTATATTGGTACATTTAAAGCATGGGTTCTTGTGTATGACAGATATTCCACACAAAGTATTTTAAGTAGTTTCTAAGAAATAGCCTCAGTACCAAGCATATTATCTTGGTACATAGCAATACAGGAGCTAGTGGAATTTAAGAACACACTGCTTTTAATTTGAGGGGTTTTCATAGTATTTTGAAAATTCAGATTTTTTTTAATTTAAAAACTCAGTGAATCTCTGTGTGTTATAGATATTTAATTTAAAGTATTTTCTTAAGTGGTCATTAAGTGATATCCCCTGAGTATCACGGGGATGCTTATACATCTGAGAAATCATAATTGTTCAGTAAAATAAAAAATTAGTTATTTAATTTTCAGCCTAAAATTGTACGTATCAATTTTAATCTGTAAATTACATTCTGGCTCTGGGTTTAATCCCTCTGACTTCACCCTACTTCACCTTCCCCACTCTGCACACATTCAACTGGGCTATAGCAGATGGTTTCCGATTTTTGAGGCACCCCTCTTTGCTCTGAGGAAAGCCACAGCTCCTCGGTGTGGTTCTCCAGTCTCCTTGTGATGTGGCTGCCCTCCCTCCTGCGCTACCTGCCCTGTCCTGCTCAGCCACACAGCCTGTCCCGGAAAGTGCCTGCGCTGCGCACGCACCACTGCCTCACCAACGCCTCAGCTCAGCCCCCTCTCCCAGCCGGTGCTGCTCTCTTCTGTGCACCGCCCTTAGCAGGTTACCTGCGAGTTGTTGGGGTTGGCTTTGTGTTTGCCTCCTCACTGAACTGGTGCCCAAAGAAACGCAGGACTCGTATTTATGGAGCACTTACTCCTATAGATTAGGGATTTCATAAATACGTGTTGATGAACAAAAAGGGGGAAAATGAATGAAGGAAAGATGAAGAGAAGGGAAAGAATGCAGAAGGGAGAAAAAGAAGAAAAATAGACTTCAAAAGTGCTTCTAGTCTTAGGACGATTACAGAACCTTAGGATATCTTTAGTTATTACGACGCGTATCATGTAATTGCTCAGGCAATATTTATCTGATTTTTCCTAATACATAAGGTAAGTATGTAAACTTGCTACATTTAGGAAAGGAAGAAGTGAACAGAATCTAACAAAATTAACAAAATAATGCTAAGTTCTGAGATTCCAGCGCAAATGGGGGTGATTGTCTTATAAACAACATTCTGTGAAAAATACATACTCATATAAACTGTACTTTAAAATCTGCCCTGCCACTTCATTTAAAGTAAACTTTTTAATCCTCTGTTTCTTGCTTTATTAGTAATGCTTCAATAATTGCATTATCAAATTAAAGATGGCATAAATTTGCCCCAATCACTGATTCAGAACATTTGCAAAATCAAGGCTAAATTTCCCCCTGCCTGACCGATGTTCCTGCCCTGCAGAGCTGCTGTGTCTCCACGCATCGTGCCCTTCTGGGTAGTGTTCTACTACCTCAGAGCCTGGTCAAGACTCATGACCAGCCACTACCTACCAGTGAATTTATTTGGTCAAAATCAGGTAGCACCCATGGTCAAAGGCATGTATGGGTTCAAACATAAACAGTATACCCGGATGAATGAATAATTTATGTCTTTCTACCACTGATGAAAAAATAAATGCCTAAGTCCTTCCAGAACTGCAAAGCAAAGATGCAATTATATGTGAAGATTACTGTCATTATTATTTAGCACTTGATAGAGTACTTTATTTGCAAAGTGCTAGTGCTTTAGGCACTTAAATTATTTAGTCTTTTGCAAATAAACATGAAGTAAAAATTTAAAGGTATAGGGACTGATCTAAAATATGTATGGATGTCCCTTATCAATCCCCCACTTCTACTTCCCTTATCAATCCCCCACTTCAGGATTCTTATATCCTGAGAACTTAGTGTAAAAAACCAAATTCAAATAGGTAATATGTAGAAAATGGGGTCCTTTTCTTTCAAATTTTTGCCCACATTAATGATGCAGAATATTCTGCAAACATCTCTCTTTGGACTATTGGCTGGTAATGAATATCAAGGAATTTACAAAATGTCTGTTATCAGATCAACAATTGTTCCTTTATGAACAAAAGTGGTTTCAGAAGCAATGGAAACATGACAGGATTTTTCTGTCTTTGAGTTTCCAGTAGCTGCCCCATTCTTTAAGCTTGTGGATTTATATTTGGTTGAACAAAACATTTTCTTTATGCATTAAGATTCCTTCATTTGTAGTGTTCAGGGTATGAAGTTTACAATTACCTGGAATAAGAAAATTTCTTGGAAGTATGTTGTCCAAACTGTATGCATAATGGTCACATAACACTGTGAAATGTCACATTGCAGCATCCCAGGATCTGCAGTCTGTGCTTATGACATGCTGGACATTGCCAATGTTTTTACTGGGAGATTCAAGGAACAGAAGTCTCCAGATTCCACCTGGACACCGGTTCCAGATGAACGAGTCCCTAAGCCCAGGTACATGCAAATACTCACTTGGCTACTTTCAACTTCTAGAAAAGAAATGAAACTTACTCCTTTGACAGTGTGCATTCTGTGGAAATGCACATCACTGACCTCCACAATAGCTGGGAAGATAATATAATAGTACAAGAACCATCTGGTTCAGTTCCCTTCATCCCCTTAATCAAAATCTAGAGCTATCTGTAATACACACAGCACAGTGACTGTCCAGTCTTTTGCTTACTTAACCTCATACGTGTGTTTCATCCAGTGTATGGACAGAGTGAAGGAGCAACCTGATATTAACTCTGTTGTCAGTAGTGGGGAAATGGAGGCCCAAAGAGGAGAGCACACTGTACAACTTTTCATAGCTAGAGTAATTGTTTCTGTTGCTCTTTCCAACTTCCCTAAATGTTATGACCAAGCTGGATTAGAGCTGAGTGCAAATGTGGCTAAGAACAAATTGAGTCTAGTGGATATTGCAGACATTAGGACATCTCTGGATTCCTATGTTTTGGCCAGTTTTGAGTCCGTATTCAAGGTAGAGCACCCTAGAATTTCTTGCATGAAAGCCTGTGGTCCAGAAATAACTCAAGAGGTTTCTTGGCCCTTTAAATACTCTTACTGAAATGGCTAATTCTATCCAGAATAGGCTCATTCAAATATCTACCAATGCCCTTCATTAAACTAAGTTAGAACTATGACACACTATACTCCAAAGAAAAGCTCAACCGGCATCCATCTTGGCGGCTTGAATTATGCATGTTCACTCTCTGCGGTTCATGGAGAACAAACACAGTACAGAAGCTGACCCCAACAGCCTCAGATAGATTCTCTCTGTCCCCCCTGTGATTGATAACTGCCTTCTGGATAATGGGAGGGAGAGGGAGAGTGAGGTCAGAAGGGCCAGGTTTTAGGGGACAGGCATGTGATGTTCTCTCCTTGGTGTGTAAGACAATGTCCTCTAGTCATCACAGGACCCACACTGGGAAGCGATTTTTCTCCCTGTAGCAGTGGTTTGCTTGCCTGCCTGTCCTTGCAGACACAGGGACACTGTCACAGGGCTGACAGGGTAGTGCCCTGCAACAGAAGAGGGCTGCAGGAAGATACCACATGCCAGTGCTTTGAGGGCCACGCTTGTCTCCTGCGCCAGCATGCATCCAGATACTTGCTTTGCTATTACCCAGACCTGAGTTTTCTGGGACAACCCTTAACTCCTGCTGCCATAGAGTTCCTTATGAAAATGAGTTTTTAATGTCATTTTTTCAGTTATAGGAATTGACATTTCTAAGCAGAGTCTTCTGAATAATGAATGAGTGTTCATACCAAAATCACATAAAACTAAAACAATCATAAAAAGTGAACCCAAATATTCTGCATCCCACTTAATGAGAGGTAGTTACTTTGAGTCTTGCTGGTGTGTACCCTGGTGACTGTTTGAGTATCTTTATTTTTGACACTTGTGAAAAAATATGCTCTCTGCCTTTGCAGAGCAAATGCCTTAACACCTAGGAGGGTGGTTCAGTAAGTAGAGCCACTCGGAGATAATGCACACGCCACATGCTCCTTCACTTGTTTCAAGCTCCATGCCTGTTTACTGGGGCTTGTCCGTGCTTCTGGAAGGAAGCCAGGTGCTTGAGATGAAGCTGAACTTTACTGGCTGAGACTTCTTTACATGAGGAGGTGGCCAAGAGGAAATCTCAGCATATTGCACTTTGGTGGTATTCTGCATTGTTCAACTTCCTCTTCTCAGCCTGCAGTCATTCTCCTCCATGCCAGATGCTTAGGGAAGCAGTTCATTCAAAGAATTTTATTTCACTTGTAGACCAGGCTGTTGTGCTGGCTCATCCTCCTTAGAAAAATATGCAACCTCCAATGAGTTTCCTGATGATACTCTCAACTTCATCAAGACGCATCCGCTCATGGACGAGGCAGTGCCTGCCATCATCAACAGACCTTGGTTCCTGCGGACGATGGTTAGGTGGGTACCGAGCCAACCAGGTCCTGAACGGATTTCCTTGGCTTTGCCTCATTCTCGTAGAATATAGTGGTAGATTGTGCTTTGAAATGCCACAAACATCTTCTGCTGTTCTGGGAATTGATTCAGCTATGAAAGGCTGGCAGGTTGGGTGGGTGCCACCAGATCTCCATAGCCATATTCCTAGTGAGAGAAGTTCCAGTATTTTCAAGGTAGTTGTACACAGGCCAGCAATTTGAGGAAAGAATGACGTTTCCTTCCGGGTTACCATATTACATGCAATCTGTGCAAAATAGAAGTCTAGTAAAGGAGAATTAGTGCGTAAACATAGCACCCTTTTGGTTGGATAGGACTATAAAACATGCTGAGGATCTCACCTGAGTGTGGTCCCTGGATTGTTAGCTGCCAAACAGCCTTGTTATCACATTTGTAAAAGTAGGACAGCATGAAGTGTTCATACTACACTATAGCTTATCTGAATTGGTGGCCACAGAAGGAATGGCTAATTAGAGAACTATAACCATATTAAGTATTCTTCCTTGCTTTTTGTTGTTTTTATGGAACCAGGAATAGAACTCAGGCCCTTGCACTTTCCAGGCAATCCTAGCATTTTTTAAAGATATTTTCAAACTATACAATAGCCTTTCCCATGCACCATTCAGTTGTAGTAGTCAAACAAAATGTTAACTGACTTTATCAGCATTTTACACTGTTACTTCATTAAAAATATTAAAGTACAGTATCTATGGAAAGTTGAATGACCAAGGGATTGCAGAAAAGGAGGACACCCAGTGGGATTTATGTCTATGCATGGATTTCCATAGGATCTAGCTTGACTTGCAAACCCTTACTTACATTTAAGAGTAGTACCATTCCCCTTCCAAGTTCAGAATTCCCTGGGCCTCTGAGCTTAAACTGGAAAGCTATCTAGTACAGCAGCTTGTTGATGAAGGCTTTGCTTTTCAGAGGAAGTGTAAAGAAAGGTGAATGGTAGTCATCACTTTTCCTCTCAATGGTAAAAGGAATGCTAAGTGAGCCCACTTTTTCATCCTATCACTCCATGGAAACATCAGTCTTTCCTTATGGCTCATGGAGAGGGTGGTTGCTGTGTGGCTTGGGATGGTTAAGACTCTCTACTTCCCATGGAGCTTGGCCTCGCCACAAGCTTACCTCCTTCCTCCCCTTTGGAGCTATGCTAATGCTTCGCATATGGAAAAAGCAGGATCAGGATAGCTTCAGACCATTATTTATATGCTTATACTCTTCCTGAGATTATTACTAGAAATCTGTATCATAATTGTTTGAAGTAGAAAAGAGAACACTTTAAAAGAGATTTAAAGCAAATGCGGTCCTGTTATTATAGATACCGCCTGACCAAAATTGCTGTGGACACTGCTGCTGGGCCACATCAGAATCACACTGTGGTTTTCCTGGGATCAGAAAAAGGAATCATCTTGAAGTTCTTGGCAAAGATAGGAAACAGTGGACTCCTGAACGACAGCCTTTTCCTGGAGGAGATGAGTGTTTACAACCCAGAAAAGTAAGTGGAATATTGGCTCTTAACTCAATCATTGTTGTGGTATTAAAACCCACTCATTCAAAGAAAAGGATGGCAAGCTTAAGTTACATGTGTTTTAAGAATAAAAGGGCAACTTTTCTTACCACTTATAAAACTTTTAACATAAAAAGAATTAATTTTGGTGTCAATAATACACATAGATTCCTTGTTTTGTTTGTGATAACCCAAGATGTTGGCTCTGAGCTACCTCCAATCCTTTTACTTTATTTTGAGGTAGGATATTACTAAGTCATGCAGGATGGGCTCAAACTTGTGATCTGCCTGCCTTGGGTTTCATAGAGTGCTAGGATTACAGGCATGCACCATCATGCTGGGCTGTGTGTGTGTGTGTGTGTGTGTGTGTGTGTGCGCGTGCGCACGCGTGCATGCATGGAAAAGGATCCACTTCGTCTTTAGTTAGATCAGATTGAGATCATCTTACAAGTGGGAAGTGAATGTGAGGGGAGTGACAAGCAAAATAGACCCCAGAGCATCTATCAATGATATTATCCTGCCTTGTAACACTAGGTGCAGCTATGATGGAGTAGAGGACAAGAGGATTATGGGCATGCAGCTGGATAGAGCAAGCAGCTCTCTGTATGTTGCTTTCTCTACCTGTGTGATAAAGGTTCCCCTCGGCCGGTGTGAACGACATGGGAAATGTAAAAAGTATGTATTTTGCCACACCAGCAATTACAGATTCCACAGTGGTTACAAGGAACTCCTACATAGCTCATGGTCATTTCTTCCTGCAGAACCTGTATCGCCTCCAGAGACCCATACTGTGGGTGGGTAAAGGAAGCAGGTACCTGTGCCCATCTGTCATCCAGCAGCAGGTAAGGAGTCCCAGATGTGGGGGTGAGTAAAGTGGCCTCTGGCTAGATGTGCTTTCTAGATGGGGGAGTAGCTGTGCTTACACAAGACTCCACCGCTCAGCCTTCTGGGAGGAAATGCGAATGAGGGAACTGCTGGTGTTGCCCTTCCCTTCCCTCATTGCATAGCAATCCACAGTATCACATGGGGCAGATTTCCAAATGAATAATCACCCTCAGTCTGATTAAAAAACACAGATGGAAAACACAGTGGGCTTCAAAGTATTCCCTGGAGAGAGGGACAAGAAGGTTCCTGCTTGATCATCACACCGCGAGAAGAGCAGAGATTGGGAGCAATGGGATACCAATTAGATTAGTGAGCAGTCTGTGGCCCGTCCTGCTGCAGCCGAGCTCACTCTTCTAATTGACTGGGCTGAGAAGAAATTGCAGGGCATTTGTTAAGCCGAGCATTTATGCTGCAGACATGGTGTGTACATCCAATAAAGCTTTCTCTGCACCCAAGAACAGTTGACCCTATTACTTGTTAGGAAGTCAGTCGATTCTTGGCAGTTCGCCAGTGGGCCAGCTAAAGCAGTCCAGTCTACCACGCTTCTGATTTTGGTGTTTAAAATTTTTACCCCAGGTTTAAGTGCTTAGAAAGTATTGGCTAAGAGATTTCATTTTATGTTTCTACTTTAATGGGTGTGATACCCGAAATGTTTGGAAAAATATCTGAAGCGTGTCTCCTGACAGGTTTCAGCAGCTCAAGTGAGGTGCCATGTGACCGCACAGGCCCTCCCTTCAACCAGGCCATCCCTCAAGCCTTTGCGCATCCGAAGGCAAAACGGAACCATTTTCCCATGGCACTGCTCCTCCTTCTCTGTTTTAGAATAGTAGATGAACAGATAGAAAGCACAGCTGAAGGCTACCACCTGCAGGACTTGAGGGCAAGAATTCTCATGAACAGCTAATGCTAACTGTGAAGTCTGACCTGGAAACTGAACTAATAGCACAGAGTTGACCCACTATACAGTATTAGAACAGCTTTGGAAGCAGCTTCGTTGACACAAGCTAGTGTGAGCTTTGTGTCTTTTCATGGGACACCTTGGGGAGAAGGCAAAAGGATCACAAAGCACAGTGAGGTATTCAATGTGTGAACAAAGATAGCATGATTCTTTGTACATGATATTTAAACCAACATCAGAACTCCACGACAGTTGCTCTAAGGTCTACTTACATATTTTAGTGACACTGGCATTGCTCAAAACCTGTGGAAATCTGCTTGGAGAGTGGGCATTAGGGCTGGGTGAATACTGGCTTTTATCAACACTAGACACCTTTACCATTTGGCACTGAATTTTATTTTTAATGTAGTAAAAGACATTAGGCACTAAACATGGTAGAATATTAGATTAGGATATAACTTTCAAAACAATTTTATGTAGCTCACCAATAAACTCTGAAAACCACCGCCAAATGGAAATGTCAATTATGTTATGAAAATAAACACCAAGTTCCCTCAAAGAAGGGCAGAATTCCTTGGGATAATTCCAGCGTATTTGCCTTTAAAAAAAAGAAAATCAAACTAGGTATTATGGAAATTGGTTTTGTTAATGTTACAAGACTTGTATGGCCCATCTGTGACCCTTGTGGAGCTGAAAGAACAATGGGCCTGTGGAAGACGATGTGCCGATGCCCCTGCTGACTCGGCTGGAGCGGTCAGTGAGCACAGGACCAGCACGGTCTCAGCACAGTGCACCCCGGGATCTGCCACCCATTTATACCTTAGAACGCCTGGTTAGCTGAGTCTTTTCTCAACAAAGAAGTAGAAAGTGAGTAGGAGTAGGAGTGAAAGACATAGTAGAGAGGAAAAGCACTAGTTTTAATTTCCAGGCTTCTATATTGCTCAGAATGAGGAATAAGTTTTAACATTTAATCTTCGGAGATATTTAGGACATGCTAAGGGAATCAGAGCTTTTTAAAGAAATATAAATAAGCCACAAATTATTTATTTAACTCCCTGTTTAGATCAGAATCAACTGCTTAACTCATGGATTTTCCTTTAAGATTCATTTCTGTAAACTTCTGAGAGAAATACCCAAGCCATAACCTACAGTTTTTGCACCTGCCATCCATTTAGCAGACAATGTTATTGTCATTAGTAAAACTTCAGACTCACGCCTGAGTAATGACTCACATTATTGTGTTCCTGTCTTTCCTTTTTTTAAAGACTGACTTTTGAGCAGGACATAGAGCGTGGCAATACAGATGGCCTGGGAGACTGTCACAGTAAGTAGAGCTTTTTATCCATGTTTGTCTTTGAGTAAAGATGTTTTTATCAAATGGTCTAGAAACATTATCCTCCATGTCAGACCAAGTGTGGCTGACATCAAGATGTACATAAATAACAGAAATCAGGGCCGGGAAGATGGCTCAGTGGCAAGTGCAAGGACCTAAGTTCAATCCCTGGTTCCATCAAAAATAAATAAAAATAAAAAAATTTAAAAAACAGGCTTAAAATAACAGAAATCATCTTCACAGCATCAAGGAAAGAGCAGTGTGTGAGACCGAATGCTGTCCATGCTGTTGCTGTAAATGCTGCACCTATTTCATTATTTTAATGCTGTGGAACAAATTCACTCTACAGAATATTAATTATAGCAAAGCAGTAAGCTATGTCTGCAGTTCTACTACAAAATGACAGCTTGGCTTCTTTTAATGTCCTGCTTCACTGTAATTTTTAGGCAAATAATAAAAGATTGATCATTGTACTATAGCTTTTTAATTGAGTAGGGCTGTTTTATACTTGAACATGTTGACTAATGAAAGTAATTATTTTTTAAAAATAGTTTTTAGAAATAACCTGTGAGTACACAGTGATAGGAACTAACCTAAAATGGTAAACTTTGAATTTACTTTAAATGTAATTAAGTGGTAGCAGTTTAGTTAGAACTTTATACAAAGATCCTGGTCAAAACTCTACCCAAATATCTTATGACCTGATTAATATGAATAGTTTCTTGAAAACTTTGTATTAATGCTAATTAAAAGCATAATATCATACTCTTGCAAAATACATGAATTGTGTGATTTTTTAAATGTTGCATGTGAATTTCAAGAAGTTTGCAATCAAGATGGCTCCAAAAAGTAGCTTTTATGGAGTAAAACTATATGATTTCTCATAATTGAATCTGCTGTGTAAATTATGAAAGTAACTAAGCCTTTGAGGCGTAAGTACTGAATGAGCAGTACTTTGAAACATGCACAACAGAAATCATCTTTGCGACCATCTCATAAGGATGTCACTCAACTTCTGACCTTATGCTTTTTTTAGAAACCAAATACAATGAAGTAAAAATGGCTACAGGTGGCCTTATCTTCAAAATCACTTCTCTGTATACTTTGTTTACAAAAAACTATATATTACAAAAAATCTTAGTTTGTCTTCACGTGGAAAACTTGCAAGCTAAAGCTTAGTGTAAGAGACAGTGTTACCACTGAAATTCCTGTCACATAAGTGTATACATTCAGCTGTATCAGGGAAACATTTGGAAGTTTAATAATTGGGCCTTAATCTTTCTGTTGCCTTATTGCTTCGCTTGCAGGGAAATAACTTCTGTGTGTGTGATTGTTTTTGTATATATATATATATATATATATATATATATATATATATGTGTTTGTGTATGTTCACAACTACTTAACTTTAGTGAACCATTTTCTTTGTGTGTTTGATGGGCTAATGGTCTAAGAACCTGGGGATATGATTTTGGATTGAATCAGAAAATAGAAGAATGTGAAAATGGTTATTACTATGCATATAAATCATACACTGTATCAATAGCCTCAAAACCCCATATCTGTTCTCAGGCAGTGGGGCCTGTACTTAGCAGAGGGAGACTCGGGTCCCATCCCAATGACTCACTCCTCGTTCCTAAGTCATCTCTGCAGTCAGGCCACCAAAAGCCTCTCTGCCGTCCAGTGTGTCCCCAGCCATTGTCTCTCTTCTGCCTAACACTGGGCATACTTGCCAAGAATGGGAGGTAAGGCAGCTCCAGTCCTTCCCTGCCTTCCTTAGGAGAGCCTGCTCTCCCATGCTCCTGGTGGAGCAGCACTTTGTTTTTCCACACCTGGACTTCCAGATGGCACTGAGGTTATTGGTACATAATGGTGCTTTAGCAGGACTTTATGTAGAAATGAAGAGCTCATAATGAGCAACTGGTAGAGGATAAGCAACATGTTGCATGAATGGTAGCCTGATTCAGATACACACCACGCACATCTCCATATGCATGTTGCCTAGTAAGTGCATGGGTTTATTTATTACTTTTTATTTTGTTTTAATTTCCAAACTAAAACCCCTACTGAGTTCAGAACATTGTGTTACTGGGCAGTTCCTTCCAGCATGATCATGAGAATAAAACAAGAGAAGAAGATATAAAGAAAAGTTCTTTCTTTGCACATGTGTCCCAGACACCACTTATTTTACCCACTTACGTGCCCCTCACTGTAAAGCAGGGCTTGGCTTCTCAGAATCGCATATAATCATGGTAGCCATTTCCTCTGCTAACTCTTGGCTTTTCCCTGCCTATGGGCAGTTACTTTGAAAAAACTCACTTGTTGGGCAAGAGACGAAGGTGTGAAATAGGGCTGAGAAGAAAGCATCTGAGTTTATAAGCAGGACTTCAATAGCCCTCACTCACTACTGGGGGCTGTATGTTGGCATAGCTCCGATTAGCGCTTTCCCACTTATGATGTGAGTCACACTGAGCAGAGTGTGGAACATTAAGTAACATCCTCCTCCTTTTGTCTTTCAGATTCCTTCGTGGCACTGAATGGTAAGGAAGATATTACTGTCCTAATTTAATATCAGTGGAAATCTATCCTAGAAATCCTATTGCACTAATCCTCTTGAGTATTTTCAAACTTTAGGTTTCTTTTTAATTAATTTCTTATCCTCATTATTTTTTTATAGACATTTCAACTCCACTACCAGATCATGAAATGTCTTACAACACAGTGTATGGTCAGTTTATTGATTATATGTATATATTTATTTTTAATTCTTAAAGTCACTCATGCTGCTATAGTTTGTAGTTTTCATTCCTAAATATCATGAACCAGCTTCTTTGTTACTTCAGGGCCCCAATTCACTAAAATTATTTATAGATTTCACAATGCTTCAAAAAATCACTCTGCTTATGTGAGACACTTGATGTGGGAGACTGAGTCCTAAATTTTTAATCTATATAATACAAAATATGCCAACCTTCAGGAATTTGGTGAATATATTTAATGAGCTCTTGAGGGAGAAAAAACTGCTTTTGGACATAAGTATATCCAAGATAAAAAGAATATTGCTTATAACTGGTCTACTATAGCTCCTCAGCTGATAGAGAATACTATGCCCAGGAATCTGGGCTCTTAAGACAGTACCATCCACAGGGGAAAATCTTCACAGGTTATGGACCCCAGGTTCCTATTAGGCAAATCTTTTAAATACAGTGTGAAATTGGCCATTGAAATTTAAGCTCAGAACTAGTATGAAGATTTAAATATATTTTCGGTGAGAGCTCTTCCAAATGTATACAAGGAAGAGTGACACAGTGGAAATGATGTGCAAACAGGATTTATCTGTTGTCCTGGTCTGAAATATATGAGCACTTTATCAAACAAAACTGCTCCATCCATAAACAGAATATTCTGAACTCTTTGTATGAAAAGTTGAGATGTAGCTATTCCATTTATATTTCTGAAAGCACCCTTGAATATTTATTCAGGTAAACTATTGATGTGTTATCTTTAAAAGCAATATAAAAAACATCTGTGTGGTGGCAAATTTAACCATTCATATTTTAATGGGGACTATGACTTTAGCCATTTATAGTTTGTGTATTTAAGTTATGCAACAAATAGTTACACCATAGTCCTTAAATATAGGAGTAGGCAAGAAAAGAAGGGGAAATTTAAAGAAAAGAAGAGAAAGGAAAAGAAAAGAAATGAAAAGAGAGTACATTTGGATCCAAAGAAGCAGTCCAAGACAGCTACAAATGTGTTCAGCAGCTCTGGGGAGACTTTCACTGTGTTCCGATTAGCACACATAAAACCCTCTCTGAAACCTCAAAGATCGTGTTATCCTTGGAGCCGCACAATATGGAAAATCGTCTCATCTCTCCTGACGCACCATCTTGAGAAAGGAGGCCAGGTGGAGCAGAAACGCCTACCACGGCCGGCCACTTTTCTCCCAGCTACTGGGATGCTGCCCTGCAAAGACCAGATGAGAGTTGCTCAGAAGGCAGACATCATCCTGCTCAGCCTTGGCCTTCAGGAAGAAAACCCACTGGGCACGTGCTCTTCCCCAGGGCCTTCCTTTGCAGTCATTTCCTATTACTGAATAATCTTTATTGGATGTCAAGAAATCTTGAAACTAATCGAACCAGCAACCTTGTCAGCATTCATCAATTATACTAATACCAATTTTAACTGCTAGGCAATTTCTCAGATACATATAACAATAAAGCCACAGGATGTTTTTTACGAAAAAACAACAACAACATTCTCCAAGCAATGCATCTCTCTTTTCCTTTTCAAAGGAAAAGTACTTATCAATTTGTCCACATCAATACTATAGCAGACAATGTCCATTGGTCCTCAGCTTTTGACCTATAATTTTTGTAATGAAACTAAAGAGTTGAGATTTTCCTTGTAAAGTAGGTAACTGATTAATTGACCATTAAGATGAGTGATGATTCAGACAGTAGTTAAAAAATATAGGAAGTTTCTTTGTATCTAAAACCAATTAGAAGAGATCTGTTTTGGACTCATAAACTCAGAAGAGATTGAATGTATTCATCTGATGATAGCTGCCGAGGGCCTGCTCTGTGCCAGGCAGGGAGCAAGATGCTATCTTTGTAGCATCGAAGAAAGGATCGAACTGTTGCTTTCAGAAGCATTAATATGGATGAGGAAGCCAAGCTCAAAGGCTGAAGTGCACATGTGTTGTTTCCTCACACGGCCTAAGTGCGTGTCCATGGAACAAACTACAGAACCTGAGTGACCCACTTTAGGAAAGGGGATTACTTCAATAAATCAGGCAAACTTCCTGCAGGCAAAAACTCGGTGCAACATCAATTATATATGTCAAAACCCTTTTTTAGTGAATTGGACCCTGATTATTTTCCTTCTCTCTTTTTCTCTGTATTTGGTATCTCTCTTGTATATTTAACTGGCTATAATCATTGTTAATACTTTTGAGTATCCTGGAAGCTCTCTAACCTCTAGAATCACAATGACTTGTAGATATAGAGAAACTATACAATGCAGTAAACCTTTTCTCATGTGTGTGTATGGTACCAGGTGCTGGGAATTGAGCCAGAGCTTTCTCCCTGAGCTATACACCACTTTTTTAATATCATTATTTGAAGCAAGGTCTCACTAAGTTGGCGAAGCTGAGCTCAAACTTGCCATCCTCCTGCCTCAGCCTCCCAGAATGCTGGGACTACAAGCATGCACCAACATTTGTGCCTCTAAAATTAACATTCTGAGTATTATTTATGTCTTCATATTTTTAATTATAATATAGCATAAACCTCATTGATTAAAATTAACCTTTCTTTTGCATTAACAAGACATAATTTCAGTCATAAGTTGCAAATATATTGACCGAATATACTATGTCCTCAAATGATGGCCTGTTTTTGTAGCCATATGACACGCTCTTAAGCAATGTAAGACCCTCTAAAATCAAGTTAGAAGAAGGAATACAGGTGATTTCCTTATAACCTTTTAAGTTTAGAAAGGAAATAATAATATACATCTTGGGCCGACAAGATAACTCAGAGGTCTAAAGTGCCTGCTTAGGCAAGCTTAGGCAAGCATTCAGGGACTGCGGTTCAATCCCTGGCACCACATGCCATGCCAGAGCAGCCCCCAGGGTGGGCTGAGCCAGTCACAAAAAAAATAATATAGATCTTGCTTTCATGCTAAGGACTGCTGCTTACTGGTGTTTTCCTGTGGTGGTTCTGTTTGGTTCTCTACTCCCACATGTTCCAGTATCCTAAAACAGAAGTTTAAAGATTACAAACCTCACGTTGCTCTTATGTATTTTTCCTTTTGAATAAGGCAGATGCATGGTTTCTCTAGATTTACATATAGAAAACAGAGACGTGGTAGGTATTAGACTAACACTTCAGCAATAGGAAGAGGCTGATTTTTCGCATTTGTATAAAACATTTTCCTACCTAAGTACCATCTGGTCCACATTAATTTCTTCTCATAGCCATAGCTTTCCATTACCAATGAGTTTTCCATGTATTTGCAGCATATGGTCCAAGAAATCTTTCTACAGAGAATGTGTCCCTTAGGCATATATTTCCCTTAGATTACCATATTAAGGAATGTTTTCCCTAAACCATACTTATGGCATTACCATAAAATTGCCCCTTGAACACAGTTAAACTGAAAGTGCTCAAAATGCATATCATTTCAGGTAAAAAAAAAATCTTGCTACTTGAAGGGAAATTTTTTTTTCTTGCTCCCTTTCCCTAACTCCCTAAAAGCTATTTATAATTGCTTATGCAGGGTTCTGAGTTCTCTGACCATATATTTCATTACAGCACTCTTCCATTTATGAGTGAAAAATAGATTTTATATTTTAGACTTTAATGTAGGCAAGGAGGAGATAAGAAAATCCTTTATGTCCACCTCGTAGACTCATTTCCCTGCCCCTGTCCTCTTATCGGTGTCATGAAATGAGATGTGAAACTCAGAAATACAGAAAGAAGGGGTCTAAAATCAAGCATTCCTTGAGTCTTAAGTGCACATATTTTTAGCAGTGGGTTGTGAAGCAGATTGTTTGCAACAAAGCGGATGTTTGAAGCTATAGAAGCCACACCAGTTCTACCTAGAAAGGGACTTCTTTAATGTTACCAAAGCTTTGTGGTGGCATTTAAGTGTGGTGTTCCCAGAGAGGTGACTATCTTAACTTAGATGAGTCACTTGGCTTGCTTTTCCCTGCTAAGCAAAATTTTGAGATAAAAAAGCTATTTTTAAATATGTTGTCTATTATTTGCAGTGGGGAAGCTTTTGCAAATCCAACTTCCAAGAATTGTGCATTCCCTATCTTTCAGGGGCATTTTATTTATCATGTATGTAGTAATGACACCCTAAGGCTGGAAATTGAGAGTTATTGTGTATCTGTCCCACTTTCTACCAAAGATACTTTTTCTACATACACAGTAGCTGTCCTGATATTTTTTAAAAAATTATTCAAGAGGTTGCTATAGGTAAGAAGATTTAATATGCCAAATGCACTTGGAACTCACAGAGAGGTTATATTTTCTCTCAACTGAAGAGGATAGGTAGTAGGGCTCCTTTAAATCATTGTGTCATCTTAGACCACAGTGCCTGAGACAGTCTGCACTTCATCTTGTGAAATAAGAGGGTGAGCCTTTCAGCATGCTAGCAGGAAGTGTCTGTCCACAGCAGCTGCCCTGGCTCCCAGCCTCACCATTCTTGTGGCAGGTTCTCCTGTGGCTCACATCAGTCCGTGAGACCTCAAAAACAGTGTCTTGTAACTCCTCTTGAGGTGCACAGCACAGTCATAACACTGTGTATCACTTAAAGTAAGTCTCAGGTCCAGTGTGAAAGTGGCGAGTGCAACTCTCTTTGGCAAGCAGGAGCTCTCACAAGAGGGAGTGCCTGTGAGGTTGAGGTAGCTGATGCTACCAAGAGGTGCAGAGAAGGATAGCTGTTATTGTGCACTTAGGAAGGGTTAGGCTGTGCTAGGTGCTTCGACCATTAGGAGATGTTATCTTCCCCACACAGGGAAGTGTCTGTTCCCATTGTGTCCACAGAGGGAGGGATTAAGTGATTCCCAGGTCTTACTCAGCCAGTGGCTGATGACAGAGGACCTGGCTCTTCATCACCTGACTGACTGTGCCTTTGGCTGCACACATCATGTTCCCTGCCACCCATGAGCCTTGTCATTGCTAGGACCCTGTGCTCATGGCCTGATGGCCAGCATGAGTGTCCCACCTCCTGGCCTCTGAGCAAAGAGAATGTGGGTCTCTCAGTGATGTTTCCCCTAACTGTATTTGTGATGAAAACAGGGCACGCCAGTTCCCTCTTGCCCAGCACCACCACGTCAGATTCGGCGGCTCAGGAGGGGTATGAGTCTAGGGGAGAAATGCTGGACTGGAAGGATCTGCTCGATTCACCTGACAACACAGACCCTTTGGGGGCAGTGTCTTCCCATAATCACCAAGACAAGAAGGGTAAGGCCTTGGACATGCCTCTTCCTTGGGGGGAGAGGGAGGGGACAGTAAAGAGGACTGTGTGGCTGCTTCCAGTTGAACCCCATTAGCATTTAGGTATCCTGCTGTGGGATGTGATTGGACACTTCTCAGAAAAGACTGCAACTCAATTTTGTGCAAGGCTTGATCTTGATCCTAAATTACTCCCTGACCAGGGGGAAACCACACAAAACAAATAGCACGTCCTCTGAGCCTCTCGCCCCTCGAAGGCGTGTGGCTTGGCCTAAGCGGATGCGCAGTCCTGAGATCCCTTTCCACTCTTCCGAGTCTCGTGCTCGGGGCTTTGCACCTTGTCTCCCACCGTAATGTGCTGGAGTGCCGTGCAGGCTTTGGGGTAAAAGCCCATTAATCAGTGAGTTAAAAAATATCAGGATCAGGACTTCTCTGACTGGAAACATTTCTCTGTCTAACATGGCGCAGGATTTGAAGAGCTGTGGTCCGCAGACTACTGTAATTGCCCTTAGAGGCCAGCAGCTGAAACAAAAATATGTTATTTAATCAAGCAGAATTGCTATGCATTTAAAATGGAAAGGAAGCCACACTAAATGAAAGGGCCTCCACTGTGAACTGTCCCAAATTTTCCTTTGCTTTCTTTGCTTGACTACAGACAGGAAATGTCATCTCTTTTCTTGCCATTTGCTGCTTCTGGTAACACATCCTACTTCAGTTGCAGCTGCAACCAAAGAGGCCTTTACTTGTCCAAAAAACAGGCTTGTAAATCAGAGGCTGAAAAGCCCAGTTATGTCCCTGAGCTGTTTCCCCCCATTCAGAATTGTTTACTTCTATATGTTTTCAAGAGTTCCATCTAAGCTGGGGTTTCAGTTTTGAGGGCAGCGCAGCCTCCATGACCCTTGGAAGACAGTCTCTGTCATGCCCTCTCCCAGAATTCTTTGCCTCTATATTTCCATCTTTACTTTAGGAGGATATTTTCTGGGCAGATGCTTATGTTAAATTTTCATCCTCTCGTTTTTCTTTCTTCTCTCCCTCTGACAGCTCTGCACTCTGCCGCCCTACTTCCAGTTCCTCAGTGTAAAGATTTGCTGCTTTTATCTTGTTCTCGAGCATGGCCCCTGCATTGATGTTATTATTCCTCTATAGAATTCCTTTGCTTAGTATGCCCTGCCGCAGATCTATTTTAGGTAGCAGGGCATGTTATTCTCCTCAGCCTCTTTAAGCCAACCTCTCTATTACAAAACTGAGAAAGCACACAATGAGGGGCAAGCCGCCTGGCCAGCCCCAAGCCCCGGCATGTGCCCTTGTTTGTGGCGTGTGGTTCTGTACCCAAGATGGTTCAGTTGGTCTTGGCTCTATTGTCAAGAAGAGACAACTCAGTAAAAATCACTTTGTCTCTGCCCACTATGATTTTCTGGAACAGTCCTTCCAGGAAAGCGTTATATGTGTAACCAAATTTCTGTCTGTTGGTTGCAGTCGCTTTCTTCTCACTTCGCTGAGAAGGGTGGTGTGGATTTTCTCCAATTGCTAACTTCCCTAAGGAAGGCGGTTCTCAAAGAGTCCAATTAACACTTCGACAGATTGTTTTAAAATTCAGCAGTGTGCATTCTCCTGGGTCTTATGATGCACACTGCCAGCACTGGAAGCAGTCTACACATTGTCAAACAATGGTGGCAGAGGTGACCGCATGGGTGTTTAACATGCTCACTGTTTTTGTGCTCTCCTTGCCTTGCCCTGTCAACGTGGAGCTTGATTTCTGACCATTGATCATATGTGTGATGGGGCAATGTCAATGAGGTGTGATGCAGAAATTTGTTAAAAATGACATAGCTCAATGTTCCCTTTACCATGATTTTGATTTCCATTTTGCTGTAAATTATTTTCTGTTTACTGTTCATGATTTATTTCCAACTTTTGTCTGGCGAAGCACTGTGTGGTATGACTTGGCAATGGTGCTCTTCTGTTGGGAAAGTCTCTTTCCCTTTCTGGCTCATTGTGCGGCCCTTAACTTGAATCAATCCGTGACCCCCTTGGTTCTTTCCTCCCCTACCGTTGATTCCTTAATGATGTCACATCCGTGTGTGTGCATCTTCTGAGATGCAGGAGTTCTGCAGGCTTTGCGGGCTTCTGGTGGGTGCTGTCCTTGCTGGGTCAGTCCTCTCATGGGAATGTGACATTTGTGTGCTCTGGCTTTGAGAGCTAAATATACTCTGGAATTGTTTCTAAAATACTGCCCATTTCCCTACTAAGCAGAATATGTGTCTGCTGACCAGCTAGTTGAGAAGGAATCAAGTGTCCAGTGCCCTTTCCATTTTGGCCACTGAAAAAGAGCCGGAGCACAAACTAAGCTCAACAGATCTGCTCTGCTCTGCTCTGCTCTGCTCTGCTCTGCTCTGCTCTGCTCTGCAGATCTGCTGACTGCCACTGGGTTGCTTTGTCACACGTCATCCTTGCAATAATTCTGCACTTCCAGAGTATGTTTGCTTGCCTGTTTTTTTCTTTTCCTTGCTATGTCTTTTGTCTTGATTTAATCCTGTGTGTCCCTCACATTCTGTCAAAGCACTGTCCTCACCTTACAGTCTAACCTCCTTCTGCTACCATTGTTCTTAGCCTCCCCATTTCAAAATAATAGACTCAAGCCCCCATCCCTCTGTGGAATAGTCCAAGGCTCTTTTCCTTCTACCATGAGCAGAGCTCAGATACTGCTGTATTATATAGTCACTAACAAAGCATGAGGACGATCTGCAATGTGTGCAGAAGAACCGTTATCATAGACAATGGAGTAATTTTCTCTCTCAGTAACTGGCCTTGACCTTCATTACCCTACTAGCCTTGTCTAATGTCTCTTGTCCTTGCTGCTTTTCTTTAAAATTGCCTGATATCTTTCAAGCCCAGGATTCATTAGGAAAAACACAGCCAACTCTTCTGCGTTATCTCTGGGCCCCTAGATGTCTGGACCCTCATGCTCCAACCCTTTAATCACCAGGCTGATAAATTAGATGCAGCCCTGACTACTTTTTTCCTGGTTTTGCCATATTTAAAGAATACATTTATTCATCCAATAACTATTGAGGCGGTAATGTGTAGTTACAAAGGGGCTGTAATTACATATAAATAAGAAAGAAAATCCAGTTTATTTTTAGATCTGGTTTATTCCCACCCATCCCTCCCCACAGCAAGGGAAAGGAGAGTTTAGGGGTTATGTTTTGTTTTTGTTGTTAAATAATACTGAGAATGTTAGTAGCTGCTCATTCCTCTGGCTTCTTGTAAAAGGCAGCAATACTACAAAACTTGGTTTCCAAAGGACAATAGGATATGTGAAGATGTTAGCCATGCACAGAGCTGCCCCAACTGCCATGGGGCGTACATATAAAATGGAAATGTTGATGGTGGTCATTAGTACACAAGAATAAATGCTGAACAGAAAAATATCCAAAGAAAACTCAGAATTATAGTATGTGTATATACTTTGGAAGATCTTTAAAGTGAGATATTATCACATGATTGCATTTAGTCTAGAACATATGATCCTTATGGACAAGGAAAATAGAGAAGCAAAATCCAAATTAGAGGTTAAATGACTTAAGCTAAAATGTAAGTAAATGTTGACTATGTTTTAATCCTTGTACAAGCTATTTGTACAAGCAATTTTTACTTGGAAGAATAATCCAGTAAGATTTATAAGGGCTATAAAGGATAACAAATCTATTGTTCATGCTTCATAACAATCCCAAGTGGAATTCTATGAATCAGAGAGTCTATCAACAATCCTTCTTAGATTCAATTACATATTCTGTTAATGCACTACAGCCTATACCACTGTTGCCTCCACAAATGGTATTGATGAACGGCACCTTACAGAGAAGGACTGAAGTGTCACATGGCCTTTGAAAGTGTTGAATCCCATGAGGGAAATGTATTATCAGTTCAAATTCAGTCTTCTTGCTTATGTCAAAAAATAAGTCTTAGATTGGTACTTTGCCATTTACAACTCCGTCAATTTGTTGCTATTCCTGTTTGACAAAGAAAAAAGAAAAACAAGAGTTGGACTGATGCTTTATTATGCAGCCATTTCTAGCTAAAATTAAAGTTACCTGAGAGCAAAATAATGTTATTTTTAGGGTTACTTCCTATTTACTTCCTATCTATGAAAAGTGATATTGTTTCCATTTAAACAATAATACAAAGTTACCATTTGAAATATGCTTTCAGGTTATGTCAATAAAATATCAACTAAATAATACAGGTGTTCCTAGGAATATAAAAATGTTAAATAAACAATATGGTATGTGAAACTTACTAGTTACAGGTAGGACTGGAATTGTAGGATTAGTACGTGATGGAAATTTAAGTTTCACTGCCCTGGAACGATTAAAGGAAGCTTAAACCACTGCGGGAAGTTTGCTTCTGGTACTCCGAAAAAGGAGACTTGGAGCCGGCCAGGCCTTCTGTTGCGTGAGGCTGCAAAGCCAAATGAGCACACTTCTCAGTCTGAGTGCTGCAATTAGACAATCTAGTGCTATTCTGCTTTCTTTTCCAGCTGCCGAGTTTTATGATTGGGGATAGGAAGTTTGGACAAGTAGGAATCTGAAGTAAAATGAATTTAAACTAAAAAGAAATTAACCGCTCTTGGCTTATTAAGCATCTGGTATGTTTTCTCTCTGCCCCAGCAGTGAGCACCCTAGTGTGGACTGTGGCTAGTTAGCGCCCAAATGCTGGCCAAGGGAAGGTTTCCCTGCAACACTTTCTCCTCATCTGCCTCCCTAGTACCCACAAGGGCTCCAGGGCTGCAGAGCTCCCCTGTGCTGGCACCACCCCACACTCAACCCTTCTCCCGTTTGTGCCTCACCTATTCTGAGTCCCACACCCCGGGAGTCATACTTGCTGTGATAACAGATGCAGAACCTGGAGTGTAGTTGGTAACACAGTCTAACTCTAGCTACTCTTGCATTTTAATGTTCTCCAGTGCTTAAAGTCTGGGATTTTCAAACTTGCCAGTTCTCCCAAAG